CTTTAGTGTATGATCACAGTGGGGTTCAAGCTAGTGATTTAAAGGCTTGAAATTATTCCCTACAGAGACTCACCCACCATAAGCCAGGTGTTCAACCCGGGATCCGGATATAGTCAAAGCTAAACTGTGGTGAACCGGGTAGGGCAAACTCACCAAAAAAAAAAAAAAAAAAAAAAAAAAAAACATTTTATTTATTTATTTACTTTTAAATTCAAGAGAGGTACAAAGCCAAATGGACATATTGTACATTGAGACAATTCAAATGACCACACCCATATTGTAGTGTATGTGAATAATGCAACATTTTAATTGGGATATTAATAGTATTTGATTTTTGAAATGGATGGAGTATTCAACTTTTTTTGTCAAATTATAATCAGTTCGCATAATTTTGTTAAATGTTTTATTAATGTTGAATGTTTAATCATTTCACATATCAAATTAATTATATTAGAAAAAATCTCAATGTAACTTCATGTTTTAGATACCTTGATTTGATAAGCCCTTTGATTCAGAATTCATAAATGGAAAATTTGATTTAAATAATCCAACTTTTAGCCGATTTATTTTTAATAGTCCAACCTTTGAATTATTGCACAATAATCTAAGCTTTACCCTCCATTCATTTTTATTAGGCCAAACCGGTAAACAACTTACACCAACAGGTTGCCTTGCCATGTGTCTCATTTTGATTGGTTTAATTTAAAAAAAAAAAAAAAAAAAAAAAAAAAAAAAAAAAAAAAAAAAAAAACATTCCATTTTCCCTTTCCCTTCTTGGGCTCTTGCGTCCATAACTTCCAGCTACCAAAAACACCATAGCAACCACCCCCTTCAAGCTTCAACCCACCACCACCAATCCACTCAACCCACCAGCAGCCCCCTCCTCTAGACCCACCACCAATACGACTCCCTCAACCCATCAACAACAACCATTCTCCCCCTCAACACACCACCAATACGACCTTCAAAACCAGCCACCCCTACACCACCAATACGACCCCCACAACTGTCATTCTCACTTTCTTCTTCAACTTTATCATCCTGCAAATGAAATTACACCGTCTTACCAACACTGTCCTTTCTCCGACGCTTACCAGTGTAATCAGAAGGCAAATACCGTGAGTTCTCGGATTTCAGCTTCGAAGCGAGACGATGATCGGGGCCGATATCGACATTAAATTTAACTCAAAATCAACAAAATTAGGCTACAATTGGTTGAATTTGCTAACGATTCAATAGTTTTGGAAAGAGTAATGGGCTCAACCCATTAATTTCTAGGGTTTTGGAAAAAAAATTGAAGGTTAGGAAATGGGGGAATTTGTTGGACCTGAGAACCGACATTGGGGAATAGAGGAGAGAGAAAATGGTGGAATCAAGAAGAGAGATAAATGAGGTGGAAGTTTAATGAACGAAAAATAGGGTGGAGGTAGACACTTGGAAGGGGATGAGGCGGTGGTCGGCGAACTGGTGGGGGTGGCTAGTACCTGGTGGTGAACTGAGCAAGGAAGAAGAGGGAGGACTGGAGGAGAGACAAAATGGTTTTTAAAATTATTTTTGCTTTAAAAAATTTTGTTAAATTAAAAAAAAAAAAAAAATATATATATATATATATATATATATATATATATATATATATATATAGAAATGGGATCATGTGAGAACCCATGGTTTAGGTGAGAACCATTTTAAAATGAGAACTCATCTAACACCATTCATTTTTATTAGATGAATGGTTCAAATTTATTGTTTCATTAGTGGGAATTCACGTGGGCCACCTTCATTAATTGTAATGATTGTTTGTATTTTTTTTTTTTAATTTTTGTGCATTGGGACACAAAATCTGTCAAAAGCTGTCATTATTACATGCTTTTTATTATTTATTGCATTGAAACACGTTACGTTAAAATGTAGTTGAAGTGTACGTCGTTAATGATGTTTCGTAAAATATATCAAGTGTTTCAATTTATAATATTAATGTTTCATATATATTATTGCTTGTTTCATACAGTTGGGCTCTATATGAACTAGGTGTACTGTGATTTCTTATACCTTATTTATGTTTCAAAAAACATGCCTTATGTTTCATTTTATACTACTTATGTTCCATAAAATATATGTATTGTTTCATATACTAATGATATTGTTTTATACATAAAAATCATTGATGTTTCATATAATATTTCATTCGAATATTATTTATATTGTTCCAGAAATATGAACTATTGTCCCATAAATATTATACATTATTCTATACCATATGTGTGAAATGTACCAATGACTGAAATGCGTGTTCCCAAGAAAATTAAAAAGCATGTACCAATGACTGAAATGCGTGTTCCCAAGAAAATGCATGGGAAAGTGATAATTAATCTCAGCCATCCATTATGTGTAATTGGTGTACGTTAATGATGTTTCGTAAAATATATCAAGTGTTTCAATTTATAATATTAATGTTTCATATATATTATTGCTTGTATATTTTATTATATTATGTATAAAACAATATCATTAGTATATGAAACAATACATATATTTTATGGAACATAAGTAGTATAAAATGAAACATAAGGTATGTTTTTTTAAACATCAATAAGGTATAAGAAATCACAGTAAACCTAGTTCATATATAGCCCAACTATATGAAACAAGCAATAATATATATGAAACATTAATATTATAAATTGAAACACTTAATATATTTTATGAAACATCATTAACGTACACTTCAACTACATTTTAACTTAACGTTGACAACACAATTCAATGTAACATTACATTTTTAATTGAAACAGCGACAAGTCTTTTTGAAACAATAATAACATCTTTTGAAACATCTCAAAATTATTCCTTTAATACAATAAAATAAGTAATTAATACTGTTCCAATTGGATGATATGCCCGTTATTGTCAATACAATTTATATTGTTCCAGAAATATGAATTATTGTCCCATAAATATTATATATTGTTCCATATATAAGAACTAGTGTTCCAATTACATGATAATGCCCCTAGTTTTCGAATTTTAAATATGTCGTTCCAGAATTTTCAACTATTGTACCACATACAGATTTGCTCTTTTTTTGCACTACTTCGAAAATTCTACCAAAAAAATATCAAACGAACTCCAAAAATTCAGAAATTTTGTATGCTTATTCTACACAAAAAAATAAGCAGATTCAAAAAAAGAATCGCTTCAAAAGGGTTTTTTATGAGAGAGAAATCTTCATTTGAAATCCGTCTTTGCAGATTTGCTCCTTTTTTGCACTACTTCGAAAATTCTACCAAAAAAAATATCAAACGAACTCCAAAAATTATGAAATTTTGTATGCTTATTCTACACAAAAAAAATAATCAAATTAAAAAAAAAATAGCTTCAAAAGCTTTCTTTAGGAGAGAGAAATTTTCATTTGAAATCTGCCTTCATTACTCTCTCTTCAATGGCTAAATTAAAATGAAACAGAATTTTCCATTTTCTCTCTCTTCAATGGCTGAATCTCTTGGTTTTATAGTACATAAATCGGTGTTTCAATGCAGAAAATAAGGAAAAAAAAAGTAAAAAACATGTAGTAATGACTGAAATGCGTGTTCCCAAGAAAATGCATGGGAAAGTGATAATTAATCTCAGCCATCCATAATCTCAAAATTGATGGTGTAAGATTGGTTCTTATTTTAAGAGGGTTCTCACCTAAGGGGTGGGTTCTCACATGATCCCTCCCCTATATATATATATATATATAAATTAAAAAAAAAAAAAAAAAACATGCTTGGATTATTGTAATATAATCAAAAGGTTGGATTATTAAAAATAAATCGATCAAAGTTCGGATTATTGAAATCAAATTTTCCTTCATAAAATGACCCTAATTATGATTTTATTCTCACGTATAGCATTAACGAGCCGTAAGGAGTCCCTCTCATCATCAAATCTGTAGCTCCTCATCAGTTCACAACTTCTATGAGATCCCTTCAGCGTTTAGCTCGTCGGAGCATAACCCATGCTCGTTGGAGAAACTCTATGAATAACATCTTAGGGAGAACCCAGTATCCCTTTCTCGATCACCCTCTCTCGTTGTCCCTCCTATTTCTATTCCCCTGCTTTTCTCCCTCCTATGACATGCAGCGACATTGCTAACAACCACCACCAGTAGCGCCATCTGCTGCAACCAATCCTTAACACTTGACACCTCTTCCCTTTGCCGTTGTTGCTCCAACCAACCCCCACCACCATTGAACAACAACCTCCCTTGGCTGCCAAATACCACGCCACCCCACCCATTGCCCATAAGTCCATAACCCAAACACCACCCCACCCATTGCCCAAAACCTGAATAACCTCCCTTACCTTAACTTTTCAAATCCAATGCTAAAATCATTCAATTTAAAAAGTGAATCCCTCTCCTCTTTAAGGGAGGCAATATTTTTACTTCTTCTGACCATTGGTTTTCTCAAGCAATCTGCTCAACATCACTGTTATCTTCTTACAAATAATCTGAATGATCTGATAAATGGAAAGTAGACTCGATTCATCCCCATATCCTCTAACTGAACCATACTAAGTAACACAAACATTTGGAACTCTAACCAGCAAACTGCTTGCTATCAGCATATATAGCACTATAATACTTGGAATACTAACACAACAGAGAATTGGGAGACAGAATCAGATGGCTGATATAAATGGCAATTTAAAGCTTACAATTTGTCCACTTTGTAGGCTGATATGCTTCAGGAAGCTTGTAAGATAGGTTCACCAGCAACCAAAGGGGCTGAAACAGCCGTTAATGAGCTACTTTCCCTTGGGGGCTTAGATCGCAAGAAAAGATTGGGGACGGACATCTCAAGAGCTTTCTGGGCTGGAATTGATTTCCATGGGTTGTTTTAGATTCAATTAGCATTTAATGCTCTTCTTATGATATCTTCCATGTGAACAAGATAAGTATTTCAGAGCCATTTATATTCAAGTTTTGTAATCAGATCACAAAATGAGCAAACAACAAAGACTCAAAACTCTCTCCCTTCACAGGTGAGGATCCATTAATTTGAGTTAACCCATTATTAATCCTCAGCTGAAAATGATAAATCTGACAGCTGTTCAGTGTTCACAAAATTCATTAGCAAATAATCTCCATAATAAGCATTATTTTCCGCAATAGAAAAACTTGACCTCATAGCAAACAGAAAAAGGCGGTGCTTTCAGCATCAAAATGTATGCAAGATACTAACGGGGAATAGAGTAGCCCAAACCCCATAAATGTGAGATAAGAGTACACATCAAAATCTCAGAGATGTAAAAAATTTCTAATCTGATATAGTGGAGTTCAGTTCATTATGATGACAATGCCTGCTGCACTGCTTCACTAACTTTCTTTGGTGGTTTCTCAGCATGTATGTTTGTCACAACATTTTTCCGGGAATAGTAATCAATAACCTGTAATGAAGCACAACTTTAATCAAAAACAAGTGAAGTAACCTTCTGACTAGACAAGCACAAATCCACCCACAAACAAATATTGGGAATCTTCAATACACAACCAACTATAATCACAACTTCACAAGGTTCATAGTTTTATACTAGCAGCCAAAAACAGTATGCCAGTAGTGAAGTTGAGTAGCAAGGAGCTATACAGCAATGTAATGGTGAAATGACAGGATAAGTAATTTACTCAAACATAATTCTATGTAAAGTGCAGAAAACTGATCAATTTATGACCCAATCACCAAAAATGATGCACTATGTCTATAATGAACTGTCTACGAATCTGTCAGAAACTCAGAATCCTTTTAAACTAGGGACTTTTTTTTGAAACCTTTGAACTAGCAACAATTGTATCAGTGGGGTTAGCAGCCTTATTCTTGTGGAGAGAAGTAGAAGAGGGAATTTATTAGACAGTGGTAAATTAAGACTCATTTATCTTAAGTTTCAGCTCATGCACCCACATGGATTGATAACACATGCATGCCATGCAGAAGATAGAAGAAAGAACAAAAACTGATACTTCTGCACACATTAAGCTACATCTTTAAATGATATTGATCCAGTTCAATTAAATTAGAAAGTAGACTTCGACAACTTTCCAACAATATATTCAGAATTTTGGATATAAAGTTATGGCCAAAAAAACTCACTGAGGCACCAACTAGGCAACTAGTGCAAACATTGACCACAAATCCTAATATCTAAGTGAAAAAAAAGATACATACATGTTCTTTTCCATAATCCAATAAATAAGGCTACAGGGGGTGAACAATCCGTTCATTAAATGTTCTTTTCCATATTCCAATAAATAAGACTACAGGGGGTGAACAATCCTTTCATTAAGAACTCTTCACTTTCTTCAAATAATGGTTTGTGAGTTCTCTTAAAAAAACTCAAAGGTGCCTCCTATTAGCATTGATCCTGTACTGTTTGGGCCCAAAAAATTATCTTTCCACACTCAGACAAAGTCAAAGACCATTTTTATAACCCATAACTTTTATCTTCAATTGGACATTTGGAAAGCTATGGAAATTTACTTTCCAATACAACGGAATTTACATCAATATCATATTTATATTTAAAGATACACTTAAAGAGTAGAGAGCATCAATGATCAATCCTTGCACAATTTTAGTACATACTTTAAATATCATTCATCTTAAATCATACTTCCTCCTTTTACATATCAATCACTCTGAAATATACGTCTTCTATCAACACTTGCAACATTTTGACTATTTTACTACCTATGAATAACTTTGACTTGTTGGATTATCCTTAATGTATATCTTCATAATACCAATTTCATATTATTTTAACTAGTACAATTTAGATATAAATGGTCAACATAATTGGCAAAGGTAAAATCAAACAGTTGCAAGTAAAAAGAAAAAGAGGAAGTAATTAGGCTTATTACCTATCTTTGGATAGCTAGATCCAAGGGATTACAATTAGACAAGCACAATTATGTTTAAATATTTGAGAGGAATTCCTAGTATTCTACAAACAATACTATTCCCACTGGTTTTTTCAATTGTCCTTGAAATGGAGGTTTGTTAATTATATCAATGTAAACTTTTAAGGGAGAGCAAATGTTAACAAATACACTCTTATCTAGCTATCGCATCTGCACTTTCTCATGTTATCACATCATATAAATAAGATACAAAAACTTAAAGCGGAAGGAATTGTTATTATACAAGCTGTCTTTAGAAAAGATTTTATGAAACGATTCCTAACAAAAATGATTATTGGATCTTTTGAAAAAGATAGTAAAGTCAATAAAAAAGCCATGAAGCACATCAACTCAAAGTTTTGGAAAGGATCTATTATTCATGAACTTGTGGTTGGCTGCCAACAATGAAACATCCAAGCCTAACATGCAGCCCCTTACTACTTACGAAGTTTACGTGTATGCCCAATGCATGTAGTTGTGTTTAGCTACCAGTAATGAAACAGCAAAGCCCACCATGCACCCCCTAGCTGCTTGAAAAATCAAGAAATGGCATGTAATACAACTCCTTATTGTCGCTCATATATACCATTGACCAAAAACATTTACTCCAGGCCCTGGAAATATCTCCTTTAAAACATGGTCATTAGTAATCTTGCACCCAACTCTCACCTTGTAGCTCCTACCCCTCAAATTCTCTTAGCTCCACTTCCTCTTATAATTTTCTATATTCTTCACCACTCCTTTATCAGCACAATAAGGCAAGGTTTATGCAGTTCATACAATAATCATACCATAAACAATGCTATTTTTCATTGAAAGGAAGTTTATTCTCCTCTTCTTTCACCCTCTTCATTCTTGCTAATTCTCTTGTTGTCCCTTGTTTTTGGTCTAGTTGTCAAAAGTATTATAGGTAACTAATACATCATTAGTCAGTTAGGTTCAGTTTGTTTCACAATATTAATAATCGACACTGCTATACAAGTTCTCTCTTCGAAATGCTTATATATCAATATGGGATCTAGATGCTTTGGTCCAACTGTTGCACAAATTTGTAACAAAATATTGATTTATTTTTCAAGCAATATAAACTAAATGAACATGAAAAAGGCCTCTAACACCTCATCTGAAGATCAGAAGATGTAGCTGCATACAGAAATATCAGTAAAACCTCAGATTCATCCACCAGAAAACATGTATATGTGCCTTCTAGGCTCCCACTTTATATCTTATTAATTAAATATTTGCTTTGGGGTTGTGGGAAGGGGATAGATAAAAGGAAGATAGGCTTACTGGTTCAGTTTGTCGGTGGAAAGACTCTAGCCTAGACTTCAGAACTGCAGCAGTGTCATCTTTGCGCTGAATCAGAGGTTCCCCAGTAACCTACAGCAAACACAAAGAAAATGTCATACAAAGAACAGTAATTCTTAGTGGAACTGCGAAAATTATAACACACAGATATCATTCACAGAAGGCGGCTTTGTTTGAATATGCTATGCTTGAGCTAGTTCACAAAATCAGGAAACAAACATTCAGATAGCAAGTTTAGATTCTTAAAAGATAATGTACATAAGATAATTCATATAGTATGCACAAGGAGGAATAATCTGTTGTGCATCATCAAACATCAAAAGTCCAAAACCATTAAGCATAGGCGATGCATGTGATCATCAATCAAAAAGTTAAATAAAATTTAATCCAATGTCTCACATCATCCACTCCTTGTACTTTTGGAGGAGCAAATTTGGTGTGGTAGGTACGACCACTTGACGGATGGATCCAACGTCCAGTGATTCTTTCCTCCAAAATGGTATCATCAATAGCAAAGTTCAACACTTTGTCAATCTTAGTTCCTCGCTTTTCAAGCATCTCATCAAGCTGCATCAGTAGAGAAAGGAGAATAATTAAATTTCCCTTTTGTTGAGCAAATCAAGTCAATGACAAGAACGGAAAGATTTGATTCAAGCCACTACACTAAAGAAAAATTGGGCCTACCTTTTCTGCTTGGACCACTGTCCTTGGAAATCCATCAAGAATAAATCCTTTTTGACATGAAGGCTTCTTTATTGCTTCATCAATGATCCCAACAACCAAGTCATCAGAAACGAGATCACCCTGCTCATTGTAAACCGTGATATAAGTTTCTTTATATGGTTTCTCCCAATCAGCAGCACATATAAGTTAAATGACAAAGCATGACAACAGCAACAACAAACATTATCTAATATACTACCTTGTCCATGGCTTCTTTAGCCTTAACCCCAAGAGGAGTTTTGGCGGCCACTGCAGCTCTCAGCATGTCACCAGTAGCCAGATGACACAAGCAGTATTCATCCTTAATGATTGGTGACTGAGTACCCTTACCCGATCCAGGGGGTCCTGAAAAAAGTACAACATGATTCTAGAAAAGAATGTTTCAAACTCCAGCCATTAAAAAAAACAGCTATTTTTAAAAAAAATTATAATAATGATATTCTCCATATTGAAACTGACTAGGAAAGATGGGAACTTTTGCGAATTTTTGGGCTCAGTCAAACCAGCTCAAATAAAAAACCAGATGGTTTCCACACACTGAGAAGCACAGCAAGTGGGCAGCCCATACAGATGTGTGAAGCCGCTAACACCAGTCAGCAGAGAATTGTAGCGCAGAATTTCTTTAGCAAGGAATTCTATGAGAAGAGACCAACCACTCAACCAGTGGCAAGTCACTTTCATATACCAAAATTCAGCAAAGCAAATCAAAAGCATCAAGAAAAAACACTATCAAAGTGCAGGGAACAGCAATGTATTTGTTGTTCTTATCTTCTTTATTAGGAAAAATATCAAACATAGCATGAAAGCAGGACTGAAGGGGGCAGTTCTCCCATTTGTTCTATTCATCAAACATAATCGGCTTGTTTAGTATATACTATAACCACTTTCATCTTCTACCATTTTATTTATATTTATAATTAATTTTTTAAACTTTCCTGACAGAAACAGGGAATGCCTTAGAGTGTGATCAAGAACATGGAAATTGTACAGAAAATTTAGAATTTTGGTTTTAATTTAACATCAAATATGATGACAAACAAACCCAATGAAGTTCTCCATTGACATTATATCCCATGCTTTCCAAACCAAACATAAATCTAAGGGAAACAGAAATGTCCCAATCCTGCAAAACTCACCCCTTTACCTAACCGAACAAACTTGATGCAATCTAGGTGCAATTACAACAAAGCACAATAACTTTAATCCTCGCATAATCGAGAAAATTCTTAGAAACCAAGGACTCTGATCATCTTAATACAAATTCCCTTTTAGATTGCATTAGAGGAAATTCACATCCAAGAGATGAATCTAAATTGAAGGAAAATTTCATAAAAGAAAACAAAAGGCGACCGCCTAAATTCCAAAGGGATAATTACGAGTCGTAATGTTGAATAATCCAATGCATCTACTTTTAGCAAGCAACATTTGATATACATTATCTCAAACCCAAATTCATCCCCCTAAGAAACAAATCTATTTGCTAAATTACCATGTCTAATAATAACTGAGTGATTTTGGTGACCAAATTGCAAAAACAAATTGAACTCAAAAGCCCTAAAATACCATACTAAATAAAAATCCAGTGTAAACTTTAATAATACAAAGAAAGCTCCAAAATTTGACCAAATCTCACCCAAAAAAAATGTAATTAAACAATATCCAAATCACCAAACAGGCAAAATTCAACCCAAAATCAAAATTACACCCATAACATAAAAACCCAAAAACAGATCTTTAAACAATGAATTAAAAACCAAGTATAAATATAATAGATAGAAGAAATTAGATCTGGGAATATAGAAACAGGAAAAAAGGAGTACCAACGAGAATGAGGCGTTTGTCAGGCTTAGAAGAGCATTTCATACGGCGAAGAAGCTCAGACATGAGATCAAGAGAAGGGACATCTTCCAAATTAGCCGCCATTTTTGTGCGTGTAATTTTTCTTCAAAAACTCAACAAACAAGAAGAAGAAGAAGAAGAAGAAGAAGAAGGTGAGGAAGAGAAGTAGTTGTCTGGTGGAGAAGAAGTTGGAATAAGGGGGTTTGGTAAAATACAAGTGCAAAAAATGGAGGAGAGAGAGAAAGAGGTGAGTTAGTGATTTTTCGGACCTACCAAAGGTTTTTGGAGATTGCGGCCTCTTTGGGGTAGGGGTGGCAATTCGGGTCAGCAGGTCGGGTTCGGGTCAGATTTCGGGTCGATTTCGGGTTATGCTTAGAAACTATTAAAAATAGTGTAAAACTTAATTTTATTACGAAATATGAAATTTGGGTCAAATCGGGTCGAATTCGGGTTGTTCGGGTTCGGTTTAGGTCGGGTTCGGGTCTCTCTCAGTAACTTCGGGTCGGGTTCGGGTCGGGTTTTCGTGTCGGGTCAGGGTTTGCCAGCCCTACTTTGGGGTTTTTCACGTCAAATTACGATTCTACACTTTGTATTTTATTATTATTATTTTTTTTTTTTGGTATTGTATTTGGTTCATCTTTTAAAGTAATCCGAATTCGGGGCTTGGATGGTAAAATTTTAATCTCCTCTTATCTGTTATTGTGCGAGATCAAACACTTAGTTCTTTCTAACAAGTGCAGTCCTAATTACCACTACACCAATAATTAATTGACCCTTTTCTTTAATTTCAAGCAATCCTCCAACTTTGGTCTTATGTTATTATATTGTACTATAAAAGTATTACTCCCCGTTAAAAAAAAAAAAAAGTATTACTCCGTAACATTTATGAATCTTACCTCTGTGGAAATATCATATGTTTTGTTTAGTTTGACCAAATTCACATGAGATTCATCTATATAAATAATACTACTAATTCACATGAGATACATCTTGGTTGGTTAGGTACACTTTTAAATGAAAATGGGTTTGACTTGATTTGATTCAATTTATATTGGTTTTCAATATACGTAGTATTTTTTTTTCAAAGCTAGATCATGTTGAATGTAGGGGCGTAAGTAAATTGGAAAATTTTCAAAGTTATTTTCATTCCTATTAAAAAATTGATGAATTAGAATAGTTGCAAAGGTTCCCATTAGATAAAACTCTAACGTTTCTCCTCTTTTTTAAATCTTAGCGTTCATTATAAATTTTTGAAAGACAAGGTGGAAAGCCACTATCTTTTTCTTTCTTTTTTTTCTGTTTTTTTTTTTGGCTTATAGTAATGGTTCTTACATTTGAGAGGAATTTGCCTCTCTGGAAAGAAAAACGACAGATCCACTAATAAAGATGTATGAGACAACAAATTGAGAATGTACCAAATTATTATATCTATGTATTTGAGTTCTTAGGCCCTGTTCACTTCAGCTTCAGCTCTTAATTTCCTTCTCTCATAAAATTTTCATTTCAACTCAATTCCAATCAATTCAGTTTAGTAAATGTGAACAGACCCTTAGTCATACCCAGTATAACTTTAATCAATGAAAACTAGTGCCCTTTAGGACTTTTTTTTTTTAAAAAAAAAAAGTTTAAAATTTCTTAAATTAGATCTAGGCCATGTTGGTAAATAGCTTTTTTGTTAGCTTTTGGCTTTTGACTTTTTTATGTGGTCAAATAGCCAAAAAAAAATGTGTTTGGTAATTGGCTTTTTAGTCAACGGAAAAACTGGCTTTTAAGCCAAAATGAAAAAGCTGCTTTGAGTAGCTTTTTTTGTTGGTTTTGGCTTGTTGGCCCACAAATTCTCTAATAAACAGCCAACAACCAACAATTAATTTACCAAACACTTTTATAAATAGTCAGCATAAACTGCCAATTTCAAAAGTTATTATAAATAGTTAAACATTCCAGCTGGTCGAATAAGCCAAGTGAACCAGCCAACCGCCAACAGCCATTTGCCAAACAAGTCCCTAGTGTTGAGTTTTGATAAGGAAAATACACAATTTTTAAGGACGGATAGACAGATAGTCATACAAATCAAGGTGCTTCAAAAGTCAAAACCACTCTAGATCTAAGAGAGTAGTCCAATTCAGGAGTTGAAAATTAAATTTTTGGTTCTTTGGTCAAGTCCAAAGTCCAGTCCTAAAACTTATAAAACCCATTTTGAACTAGAGCAATTTCTAGTTTATAAATTATGCATAAAAACCTTTTCTTCCTCTACAAAAAAATTATGCATAAAAAAAATTATGCATAAACCATAAGTTGTAGGGTGTTGAGTCTATATTAATATACATTTTCTAATATTGATTTCCTTTTTATAGAATTTAATAATATTAAAGATAATAATTTTCAGGTTTGGAGTGGGGACGAAGGAGGAAGTACAAATGGAGGGTTGTGAAACAAATGCAAGTGTCTCACAACCATTAAAATAACATTAAAGTAAAAAGAAGAGAGAGAAAGGAAGAGAGAGATAGGAAGAGTGAAAAAGGTGGTGTGGGCTCCACTAAAACTTTTCAAAAATGATTTCACGTGCAAAAACGTCAAAAAAAATTAGGACCACAACTACCGGTATTATTTGACAATCTAATTAGACATTTGAACTTTTTTTAAATACCACTAAAATTATATTTTGTATCTCTAAGACTGTATTTTGTACCACTAAATCTAAAAGGGAAAAATTTAAATCCCGTATGAAATAACCAATTTACCCCTGCGAGACACTTATACATCTCTCAACCCTCGTTTATATAACCTCGAGACGAAGGAGGTAGTATATTCCTTTCTTCCACCTTTTAGTTGCTTCAGTAACACATTACGAGTAATATCAAACATCGCATTTGACAAAAACCCCCCATAGAACCAAAAAAGTAACTGACAATAACCCGTTACGATTATCAAAACTTGTAATAATAATAATCTCATCAGTTCCTACCTTACGATTAAAACAGACAGGGACTAACTACATCCTTAAATGGATCAACCATACATAGATATACGCAATTTCACGCCACAACCGAATCAGAATCTGGTAAACCCAGGAAACAAAACATAACTTTTTATCCTGTTCATTCTTTTGACTTCTTCTTTTTCTTCTTGCTCTCGCTTACAGCTGATACATCCTCACCATCATCTTTACTCTTTTTCTTCTTCTTCTTGATAGTTCCGTCTTCCTTTTCATCTGCAACAGCTTGTTCTTGTTCTAATCTGCGCTTTTCTTTCTTCTTTTTCTTCTCAGACTTGCCCTCCCCATGATCTTCTTCAATTTCTTGCTCCTCCTGTTGCTCTCCTTTCTTCTTTTCTTTCCTTTTCTTCTTCTCCGACTTTGTTTCTTCCACAACATCGTCATCCTTGGATTTCTTTTTCTTACTCTTTTTTACAGCAGAGTCAGGTTGATTATCTAAGTCCATATCGTCATCATCTGTGCACATAAACATACCATTGACAGGTAAGTAGCCTTGAAATAAGATCACTCTAAAATGAATAAAGTCCTCAACAGTGATATATCGATTAGAGGACAATATCCTCTAACCTCAGGAATCTCAAATTCAGTATCATACAAGAAAACCGTCCAATACTCACCATCCTTTTGGGTTTCAATTGCTGCTTTCATGACATCAATATTTTTTCGAGGTGCAACACCCTTGTCATAGAAGTCAAGTCGCTCCTCTACTTGTTCACGTAGCTTTTCACCAAAAACAGTAGAGCCCTTCTCTGTATCAATACAAACATATTTCAAATTGAAGATTAAATTTGCACCCTCAATGGCTTCCTCCAAATGAAAATCAACTTGCAAGCGAGCAGATAATAAGTTGTAACCAAAACTAACCTGAGAAACAGTCAATACGAGAGGCAATGGAACACTTGTTTGCAAGATAACGTGCCATCCGGCCCTTGTTCCGAGAAGATGCCCGGCCAATGAAAGAAGAATGGAATATCAGACCATACTTGGGTGTGTTTCCTCGTGTTTTCAGGGCCCTAAACAAAACACAATCAATGAGACACATTTCTGATGCACAATAATTCTTATTACTAGGCAAACAACACGAATATCACACACCCTGTCAAACCTCATATTTTCCCAAAGGAATATCCTATCAAATTAGTGTAAAACCAACCAACAAACCTAGTAGCTTCCTACAAAAAATATGCAAAGATACCAAGAGTACCAAACATCACAAAGGATGAGAAATTACCTGAAGAGTGCTTTCTCAGCACCAAGAATTTGCAGGGTGGAAGAAGGGCACTTTGCCAGATTTGTGAGACTACCAGCATGGGAGATCAATCTAGCTCCGACCATCTCACCAATCAAAGAAGTCAAGTTTGGTGCTATATCGTTCATTTTTGTGACCAAGTAATCATAAAGCTTCCTCCTATACTCGGAAAGATCCATTACTCTTTGAGCAAATTGCTGGACATTAATCAAGTCAATGGGAGATAATTCTTGTCCTGCAGGAAAACCAGTGTTATTAGGATGAATTTTCTGCATCTTCTCATTTTCAAATGCACAAGTGAAATAATCTTCGACAGACAATTGAGTGTATTTACCCATAGATGCTTTAGCAGCTTCAATAATCTCCTTTGCTTTATCTTCATCACCAACAACTTCAGTCAGCTCAGACAGCTTCTCCTCGGACAACTCTGACTTGTTCTCAATATATTTGGCCAATTTAGCATAAAGATAGTTGTCATTGACTATCTTAACTAGTTCAGGAAAATGCCATGAATACCATTCCCTGCAGTAGAGAGGGCAAAGAGATTTTAAATAAGCCTTGAAATTATTTAAAAGAAAAAAGGGCACAACGCAATGTAGGTAGCATGTGGCTAACCTGACTCTCATTGAGAATGAGTTTACATCTTTATCAAGGGTGTCAAGAAGAAAGATAGCTTGTATAACCATGTTGTCGACACGGTTAACATTGAACTTGACCTTTGCCCTGCTGTAGCTGTGTCCTAAACCCAATTGAGATTTCACTAAATCCCCGGGCTACAAAAAATTGGCAAGTGCAAAAAATCTAAGACAACTACATCTTTAACTAGCTAATAAAAATAAGTTTATCAAAAAACTAGATGCAAATGTACAAGACAGCCCCAAAAGAAATTTGAAAAGGAAAAATTCACACCTTAAGATTCTTGATGTAATGTTCAAAGTGTAGACGAACACCACGGAGAAGCTCCAGCATAAACTCATTACTTCTGCACGAAATGTTAGTC